TCCTGCCAGGGAACGTCTGAAGAGTTTGAAGATCCGATTCCTGTATCCATCCAGGGCGTATCTGTTGACGACTATTTCCGGACTCGATTCCTGTATCCTGCCAGGGCACGTCTGAAGAGTTTGAAGATCCGATTCCTGTATCCAGCCAGGGCGTATCTGTTGACGACTATTTCCGGACTCGATTCCTGTATCCTGCCAGAGCACGTCTGAAGAGTTTGAAGATCCGATTCCTGTATCCAGCCAGGGCGTATCTGTTGACGACTATTTCCGGACTCGATTCCTGTATCCTGCCAGGGCACGTCTGAAGAGTTTGAAGATCCGATTCCTGTATCCAGCCAGGGCGTATCTGTTGACGACTATTTCCGGACTCGATTCCTGTATCCTGCCAGGGCACGTCTGAAGAGTTTAAAGATCCGATTCCTGTATCTAGCCAGGGCGTATCTGTTGATGACTATTTCCGGACTCGATTCCTGTATCCTGCCAGGGCACGTCTGAAGAGTTTGAAGATCCGATTCCTGTATCTAGCCAGGGCGTATCTGTTGACGACTATTTCCGGACTCGATTCCTGTATCCTGCCAGGGCACGTCTGAAGAGTTTGAAGATTTGATTCCTGTATCCAGCCAGGGCGTATCTGTTGACGACTATTTCCGGACTCGATTCCTGTATCCTGCCAGGGCACGTCTGAAGAGTTTGAAGATCCGAGTCCTGTATCCAGCCAAGGCGTATCTGTTGACGACTATTTCCGGACTCGATTCCTGTATCCAGCCAGGGCACGTCTGAAGAGTTTGTAGATTCGATACCTGTACCCAACCAGGGCATGTCTATATGAAGAGTTTGAAGATCAACCTCTGTAACAGGCCAAGTAATTATCTTTCTTTCTCAGGTATGCAAGTTCTCGCTAAGGAATCTCTTACGCGATCGACATCTAGATGGCATCTATAAGCCCATCCACTTACCAACAGTTCCAAATGGCATCTATAAGCCCATTCCCGACAAGGTTCTATCACACCTCCAGATGGCATCTATAAGCCCATCCTCCTATCCACCATCCCTCCAAATGGCATCTGTAAGCCCATTCCCGCTATCACACTGCTGATACTCTACTATGTGAGTGCAAATTTTTGGGCACTCTAGTGTTCAATCATCTTCCACCTTCGGATCACGAAAGGCACACAAGCTAATCTACATCCTCAGGTCTAAGAAGATTGAACAGGGGAAACTGTTGTACCCTAAAATTTGCCCTCCCATAATCTTCAAAGTCTTGCCAAGCATCACCTCAAAGGGTTCAAAGTCTACTCAAGGGCTATACAGTCAACCACTCTCCTAAGCCAGTCAAATTAGGGTTTTGGTTCCTTCAAGGAAGTTGAGGTTTTCAAGGGCTAAATCAAGTCACATATGCTCATATACATTGTCAAGCATCCACATGTCAAGTTACAAGGCTCACAGCATTAAGTTGCACAGTCAAAAACCCTAATTGCTCCACAGTCAACTGTAGGGGCAAAATGGTCATTTGGCAGTCAAAAGTCAAAATTTTTGGTCAACATCTTATTTTGAAGCCACAATCATCATTTGATCAAGTCTTGATCATGATTTCACAAGAATGGCTCAAAAATCATCAAGATGCAAAAGTTTCTATTTTTGGACAGCTGAAAAGTCAACTGTAACTTGACCAAGGCATAACTTTTTCATGGTTCATCAGAAAAATCCCATCCAATGCTCATTTTAAAGGGGAGGACATTTCCTACAACTCATCTTCACACTCCAAGTCCAAGAAATGCTCTCACAAAAAGTTATCAATTTCAACATTATAGGTCATTTTCAAAAGTCAACAAAAAGGCACTTTAAGTCAAAGACCATAACTTGAGATTGGTAAATCAAAATGATAAGGGACCAAAGACATTGATTAGAGGACTTCAAGACCTTTCCAAAATGTCCAAGAACATGTTCATAGCTTCAAAATTGAGCAAGATATGCATTGGAGAAGTTGGGAAATTTTTGTGAAATGGCCAAAGTCAATTATCCTTGAAACTTCATTTTTGACAAAAGGGGCCCACTTTTTCCACTTGGTTCAGCTTGGCCATGCCTCCCACGTGTCCCACAATTTATTTCAAGATTAAAAATTAATTTTTCCATTTTTGTTTAATTTTATTTGATTTAATTCATTTTAAATCTTTAAAATTCAAATAAAAATCAAGAAAATTAATGGAGGGATATATTTTGTGTTGAATTGCTTTGATACACCATCATTCACCTTCCAAATTCGTGCAAGGCCTATTGCAAGCAAGAAATTCAAATTTGACACAAAAATGGCAAGTTGTTTCAATGGAGTTTATGGCAAAATCAAGAACATAATTGCAAGGCTTCAATGACCATACTTATGATTGATACTCATTCAAAACCATATATGCAAGCCTTGTCATAACATTACACGACCTAGAAACACTCCATACAGCATAAGCAATTTCCAATTTTCAAAGGAAAAGTGGCAAACTGAAAACCACCTTACAGTACAATTCAAGCTTCCATTTTGATTCAAATACACTCCTTGTATCACCAGAAACTTTTTGCAATCAGAATTAAGCCAAAAACCTCAAGAAATCACGCTACACAAGTCACACGGTTTGTCCAAATTTTGAAAATCGAAACTCCATTTTTACGCCTCTTTAATTCATTTTGGTCATGGTTATGCACTGCTGACATTGTTACAAAACTTTCTGTATGTTTTAATTTGGTTATAAGGCTGTAAAACGCAAAGTGCCATTGTTGGTTTCTAGGTTTTTCAGAGCTTCGAATTAGGGGTTTTTACATACTGTAAAATTGAACCTCAAAACAGGCATGGTCAAACTCAGAAGCTCAAGACGAACATGATGAACATATCGCGCCCAATTTATGCTTCATGAGCGTCTAATCGCTATTTTCATAATGCCTGTATTTTGTGGGGGTTTAAAACCCCCGCTATATGTTTTATGTTTACAGGAAAAGCTTGAAGACGATGGCGTGGCAAGCAGGGAGTGGTCAATTCAAATTAACGCGCGCGTTTCAGCATATAACGCGTTTGTATTATATAATTTTCTTTGTCCATTATACTAACAAACTGACGCGTTTGGTTCAGTGGTTGACTGTGTACTTTGCAATCTTTGGGGCCTGGGTTCGATCCCAGGTCCCCACCAAAATTCATATTATTTTTCTCTCTATGCTTGTGTGCAGTATCTCATCCAGGATCCACCATAGACCTCATCAAGGAGCGCTCCAAGTGTCCATCAGCGCAGATCCAAAGGCTAAGCATGAGGACCATGGTACCCTGGAGTCAGCGCATGCGTAGACAACCACAAAAAGTCAAACAGGCCTTGTCCAAATGGGCCTCAAACCTCAATCCAACACCCTCAAATTCCAGCCACACCCCCTTGGGTTTTAATCTTCCTTTTTTTATTTTTGTCATCTTTCTTTTTTATTTACCTTCTTTTATTTCTTATTAACAAATTAATTAACATATTTTCATAAAAAAAATCAAAAAATAGAACTAACATCATTATTATTATTATTATTTTTTATTTTGTAAATAAACATTAATTGAAATAGTTTAATTAGGCAATTTTGACTTTTCTTTTAACAATTAAAATAAATTAGAATTAGGTTAATTTAGAATTTTAATTCTTTTCTTTTATTTCATAAAAAAACATAAAAAACACAAAAATATTTTCTTTTAATTAAATTAATTAATTAGTCATTAGTTAGTTTTTAATTTCATTTTAATTACAAAAAGACAAAAAAATCAATTTCTTTTCTTAAAAGGGTCAAAACCCTTAGAACATTCCCGATTCTTTCTTTCGCGCGCATTTTGATTTTAATTCTTTATTTTGATTATTTTTGTAACTGCCTCCGGATGTAATAGTAATTAGGGTTTTACTGCTTTACTTTTCGTACTTATTTACTAAAAACGGGTCTTTGTATTTTTGGCGATGTATAGACCCGCGCCTTGTAATAGCGTAGGATTTATGTTTCCGCAATTTACTTTCCGCACCCCCTTAACTGCTAAACTTACATGAAAGAATGTATGTAAATAAAAATAACTCGTAGCTCACTATTACAAAGACAAACATAACATGAAAACGACACACAATACATACACCACTTCTAGGGTACGCCTCACTCGTTGCCTTCGAAACATGGTCATCAAGCATAAGACGTCTTAGAGGTCACCCTTTGTCTAAAGATCCCGTTGCCTCGAAACAGTTGCCTCGAAATGGTTGCCTCGGATTAAAAAGGATCTAGGACATTCACTACAAGAAAAATGATAGATTGGGACGGTTATTTTGGCTGATTACGACGGTTAAAACCGTCGCAATTTACAATCTACGACGGTAGAAGTACCGTCGCAGAATCGTGCGTCCCCAGCCTATTTCGCGACGGTTGCAAAAACTGTCACGCACAACAGATAGCGACGGTTATATACCGTCGTGAATTTGACTTTATTTTTTGTTTTTGTTGTTGTTTGCGACGGTTATTCTACCGCCGTAGGTTAGAAATTGCGGCGGTTTTAACCGTCGTAATCTGATTTATAAATTTCAAATAATATTTTTATTTAAATTATTATTTAGTAAAATAATTTTAAATATAATATTATTTTACTATAATATTTTACTATTATATTTAAATTATTATTTACTTTAATATTTTTTTATTTATAGTATTTTTATTTTATTTTCTATCACTTTTCAACATAATAAAGTTAATTACAATAAAAACATTTAATATCAAATAATCATCAATAATATCAAAAAAAATGTGATCAAAGGTAAAAAGAAGTGCAAATTTTACCAATAAACAAGAAAAATTCAAATATCATCAAAGGCCAAATTTCATTTTAATATTTACATTGGTTTGCTACAACTTGAGAGAATTACAAAAAATGTTACAATATTCTACAAAATTCATGAAAGTCCTTAGTGTTAAGTGATTTTGTGTTAAACTTCCATGCTAGGACCATGATCCTTCCTTGACTACCATTTGAAAGCAATAACTTCACTCCTAGACAGTGTGTTTGATGAATGGTTGTTAGGTAACTCATTTATTTTAGAACCACAAACAGGCCCTGAATTTCCTCGGCTTCCTGTTGTCTGCGAAAGCACATAACATCATATATAGAAGCAAAATCATGGCTTCCTCAATTCACATAACCAGATTTTAACAGCTTTACCTTTACCAACAAAGCATCCATCTTCCTTTTATCAATCCTGAGTGGACTTTTCATCTCCATCAACATCTTCTGACCCAATGCTTTAATTGATGATTCCCCTTTTTCACTTCTATGCTTTCCAACCCCACAAACCACAATAATTTCAGCAATAATCTCAAAGTTGGAAGCATTCAACAGTAATCTTCACAAACACTCCACGATTGAATGAAACCGCATGGGTAAATGCAATAATTATAAGAGGAAGTTTTTACTATTAGCCTGTTAAATGAATATAATACATGGTATATCTTGTGTATACCATAGGAGTACTCAAAGTATATTGGTCTTGATGAACTTACTTGGCACAGATCGACTAAGATGATTAAAATTACCAGTCTCCAAATTTTGAGATAAATGCAGTCTGGCCCGCATAACATATCACAAGAAGCGGATATATCAAGCAAATAAATGTAATCTACAAACAACAGACCCAAGCATGATGCACAAGTTGTTTGTTACTAATAATTTTCAATTACAATCAAATATACAAGAATTGCATATCAAGTTATATGCATTACAATACCTTGATTGATTTCTTAGAAAAATGGCCTAACCCTGCAAACATTGCCTCTGATCCTGCAACATAGCAGAAAAAGTAAACAAATTAATTTCATAACTCAACTATGTAAAAAATTTAAATTATTTATAGATACTTTAACCTTAAATTAATTTCAATTTTTCTAATTTTCTCAAATTTCTCATTTCTCTTTCATAAATGATCAAATTTCTCATTACTCTTTCATTCCATAAGTGAACACTAACTTCATAATATAAAATTATTCACGAAGAATACATTAAAAACGGAACATACGTGCCACATCAAATCTTTAAGAGACATATATTGTGGTTAAAAGGCTAACGATGTGCACATAAGACTGATTTGTTACCGGCAAGAATTTGAGCACATAAGACTGATTTGTTACCGGCAAGAAGGCTCAGGATCACAGATAAGGGTAGCTACTGAAGAAGCAGTCAACTCCATAAAAATTGCTTCCTTGCACATCTTATCCGCAAGAAATATCATGTTCCGCAAGGACCACACATCATTCAACCTTAAAGACGAATCCATAGACTTTGTCAAATGGACAAGCTCTTTAATGCCTCCACATTGTATGATTGTTGACTTATTTGGTGTAAAGTCCACTACTATGTTGGTAATAGCACCAAGGGCTGCAACCTGGAAGACAACATTGAAATAGTTATACTTACTAACTTTAACAAAACTAAGAACTAATGAGGTAAAATCTCTGTAAATACGATTAGTCAGGAAGTATAACTTTTGGGAAAGAGATGAAGAGTTGGGGAGAAGAGTTCATGTTTGAACCAATCAAAGGTAAGCATATAATTATCATTAATAAAATATAAATTAGATAACATATATGGCCTTTGTGATACCCTCATTTTTAGCACAAGATAAAACTTATAATTATCATTAATAAAATTATAAATTGGATAACATATATGGCCTTTGTGATACACTCATTTTTAGCACAATGTACAAACTGCTAGTGCTCAACAGCTCAGTTTGTTCAACAATATGCCATTTTTTTTAGTAATATATCTGTATTTTTATATTTGACAAGAAGATCCAAATAACATTAAAAGAAAAAATACAGTCAATCAAAACCGCTCAGCTGAATTATGAATATCATTGTCCAACAGTTAGTCCAATATTAACATTTTAAGTCAGCCCCTCCTACTCAGCATCAATTACAATACTTTCAAATTCAATGTTAAGCTTTCCATCTCTAGTACTAACTAACTCTAAATTATTAAATAAGTAAATAAAGGATAGTTTAAAAAACTCAATACAAGCATGCATTATCGTGAATAGAGTATTGTTGTACCCCAATTTTTGACCTAAGATCCCATTTTTCTTTTTGGCATTTTTATTCAAAGAAATTAAGGGCACGAAATATGGCCGGTTTTAACCTCTCAAACTTCTCCACAACTTCCTCAGAGCACAATCAAGATTTCATCATCACTGGTTTACATGTGTATCAAGATGCTTTAGAATGCGAAGAAAGATCAAGTTTGCAAGTCGATTCAAAGCACTTCGACCAAAAAGCTAACTTTTTCAAGATCAAGTTCAAAGGATCATAAATTTCCAATATTTTGAGACAGTTCTTTTTGCATGTTGTCATATTATGCTTCGAAGGCTATGGAATTTATTGAAACGTTATAGGTCATTTTCATAACCTAGAATATTCTTAACCTCCAAGCCGTAATTCATGCCATAATTGTTCTCTAAAGATATTGAATTTTATGATGAGTTTGTTCATGACACATAATGATGAGTTTAAGAATTCTTTAAATTGTTTGGCGCTTGTTTCAAGTCACTTGCATTTGAGTATAAGTGATTGTCAAATTATGATTGAATTTTTTACCAAGGCTCTTAAGATACTATTTGTTCACTCAAGTACTAATGACAAGTTTGCAAATGTTCTTCAAGAGAAGTTCACAAAAGTCCATCAATTCTACAAGGACTATTTCTAAGGAAAAGTTCTTATTCAATTCAAGAATTTGATACAAACTTTAAAGAAAATTTCAAGATCATTGATTCAAGGATATTTGTCATGTTTAGTTCAAAAGTGGAGAATGCATCATGCTAATTTTTAGTCATATCTCAAGTTTGCAATTTCAAAAAAATCTCAAGACAAATCCATTCCAAACTCAAGTGAAATATTTAAAGTTACATCCAAATTCAAGACTTGTTACAAATTTCAAATTTCATTACAAATATTATAGCCACAAAATCACATGAAAAACATTGCAAATCCTGAAGCCTATTTTAAACTATCCTTCATCAATTTTCAAAATACCAAGTCTAAGTCTATGCTATTATTTTCAAGCCCATTTTCCTTGCTTCATGATGCATCAAATTGCTCCATAACTTGTACCAATGTTGTCCATAAATCAGCTGCTACAAACACTTCAAAACAGTCCAAACCTTGCTTCAAAATTATCCATACTGTATGCATATCAGTCCAAAAAACATGCTACTGCAATGCTGCTCCAAATCCTGTCAAACCTGTCCAAAAACAAGTCAAAATTCTGCACAAATAATGCCAAAAACCTGTCCAAAAGCAGTATAAAATTTCACAAAAATAGAGGATGCAAATCCTGCATTAGAAAGGGAAAAATCAGCATATCAATTTGTCCAAGACCCACAAATTTTCCCTCCAAAAATTCATTCTGAAGGGGGGAAAACAAAGTAAAAACCTGTGGAAAATTTCTAATAAATCTCCAAGTTTAGAACACAAAAAGAGAACAGGACTTGCTGTAAAAAAAAAAAGGAAAAAATACAAACACAAAAAGAGAACAGTATCCCATCTACCCTTTTCTTCACGTTCTCAATCACCACCATCACTTCCATCTGCAACAACACAACCTGCACACTCCTTTGTCGCTCCCTCTCACGCTCCCACCCGCGACAAACACTCTCTCCTCTTCCTGTTTCTGCAACCGACCACATCGTAAGTGCTAACCGTGGCTGGAACCCTGGCATCAACTACACTCTTTGGGCCAATAACCACACTTTCTATGTCGGCGATTTCATCTCGTTTAGGTATCAGAAGAATCAGTACAATGTGTTTGAAGTGAACCAAACTGGTTATGAAAACTGCACCCTAGACAGTGCTGTTGGAAATTGGACTAGTGGGAAAGATTTCATATTACTGAACAAAACTATGAGATATTACTTCATTTGTGGTAATGGCCAATGCTTAAATGGAATGAAAGTCTCCGTTCTTGTTCATCCACTTCCCGTCTCCTCCGTTCAACTTCCCGTCAACACCACCTCCCTCTCGTCTCCGCCTAGCAACCTTCTAAAATCCACACACAGTTCTAACCTCAACTCCCAGCATCCACATCGTAACCCTCTTCATCCAATCCAAAACACCACCTCCTAAATTCGAATCCACTAATCTCATTCATCAATTTTACCTCAGAATTCCTACATCTAATAAATTGAAAAAAATAGGTTTGAAGAATAGCGAAATCAAATGCCGCTGGCCATGAATCCCGCTTCACCATCATAGGGGAACGACTCAGGAGGCTCCAAGTTACGCATCGGTATCAAGAAAGTGCGAAGAAGAGGACAAAGGAGCTTACCTCACGGCGGGGCCAACACAAATTCCGGCGAAGCTTGTTCTAGGTATGTCCTTATCTTCACAACTATTCCCTTTTCCTTCATTGCTGTTCTGCAATTTTATCAGGTTGACGATTGCTGGCGGCGCAAGGTTGAGGAGGTCGAAGGAATCACGAGAGGAGGAACGAGATCGGCAGCTTTAGAAGGCGAGAGAAGGTGACCACTTTGCATCGAGATAACTGAGGAAGAAAGCGATAGAGATATGGAGATAAGAGGTTACCGGCACCGATGATTTCCTGTTCCCTTCCTAACCCATAATGCAGCGCCGTTTTTCACTTTTCCATTTAGGTCTTTCTTTTCTTTTTCTAACCCAATTCGCGTATTACAGGGCAACGGGTCTGGGTCTGACCCGGTTCGGCCCGGTTTTTAACTTGGCATGTTCGTTTCAGTTTTTTTATTACTCATGCCTTGGGCCTTATCCCAATCTTTTGAGCCCATCCAGTTTTCATATCATAAGCCCCCTCAAATTTGTGTTACACACCCCTTTTATTGTTAATTTAGTGTAGATTTTAATTAGTAATTTTATAAGGAATTTAGTTAAAACTTTGATTTAGTTTAGATTCAATTTAATAATTAGAATTTTAATTTAGTAACTTTAAAATCAACTTAGTTTATATTAGACGCGGTTTAGTAACTTTAGAATTAATTCAACTTAGATTAAATCTAGTAATTTTAGAATTTTAATAAATCGTAGAGCTTTAACGCAATTTAGGTATAATTCAGAAATTTCACAAATATTACTTTTTTGTTTAGAATTAACTTAGTAATTTACATATCCTCTTTAGATAACTAGTTACCTTCTCGTTTGCTTTTTTAATCGTCTTAGTCTTTTAGAATTAAATATTTCATTGTTTTTTAATCAGTTCGTTTAAATTTATCTTCTTGCGAATTCTTGATTACTTATATTGTGATGTTCGTTTTATCTTTTCTGATTTGTTTGCTTCTATTCCAAGGGAAATTTTTCAATTCAATTGACTTCACGTCATCAAACACATCTCATCCGATTGCGCGAACCCTTTCATTCATTTTTTTGTTCGTTTAATATTTTTCTAAACTCAAGATAATTTTCCCAAAAGATTCCATTTTCAAACTCACACCTTTTAGGTCAAAACTTCGACACTAGGTCGTCGTATCTTTAAAAATCTCGTCCATACCCATCTTTTAGCCAAACGAATCATTTTAATCAAACAAACAATTTTAAACCAAAAAAACAGATATTTCAAAAGGTTCCTGCGGAGTACCGCAGATGCATTGGGTGCTAATACCTTCCCATTGTATAACCAACCCCCGAACTCTCGATCTCTTTCAAAAAACGCATTGTATTTTTATTACTTTCAAGTATTATTTTACATTGCATATTTTAGGGTTTTATTTCGCTCTTTTCCCTTTTCCCTTGGAAATAATAAAGCGCGGTGGCGACTCTTGCTTTTGCGAGTCAAGTTAATTAATAGCTTGATCTCCGATTTTCACCGCTACAGAATTGGCGACTCTGCTGGGGAAAGATTGACCTCTTGCTGGTCCATCCCTAAGTGGGTTAAGCCTAATTTGTTTTATCTGTTTTATCATTATTTGATTGTTTGATTATATGTATATATTGTGATTATTTGGGTGTTGATAATATTTACAAAGGACAGGTCCTATACCCGGACTAAGTTACACTTAGGAATAGGACGGGCGGTATAGTCATGTTAACTTTGAGGGAGTAATCCCGAAGAAGGAGGCATGAGATCCCCCACTCAGTGGAAGGCCCTTTTGAACGTAATATTTGTTTACCGAGTAATCGGGAAGACATTATTATTTTCGACCTGGGAGCCAGAGAAGCTGGGAACCGTAGAACCCTAACCCATCTTGGCCTTTTAGGTGTAGCGCGGAGATTATAACGGAGTAATCCGGAAGTAATTGTTACGCGATGCTACGCTCGGATGAGTTTCTCTTGAGAATATTGCTGATTATTGAGTAATCAAGACGTTGGTAATATCCGAAGGAGGAATGTAGACTCCGGGAACTCTTAGAACCTTGTTCTATAGGTGTGATTAAACCGTTAGTACATACCTTGGGGATGTTCTTTACCTTGACTCCATGCTCGTGACGTTGAACCTTTTGACTTTATTTGTGACCTTGCTTGTGGTTGTTGCATAGCCATGCATTCATGCATCCATAAAACCCTTTTCACTTGACTTTGAAGGAATTTGGAGGTCTTTCCTTGTAAACATCACAAGTTTCGTCAAGCTCAATGGATCTTGGGTGTTGATAGGGCGAAAACCCTAATCCACCAAAATGGATGATTGATCTTGATGATAACTTGATCAATGTTTGGAGCCAATTTAAAATTCATCTTCTATCTTCATACTTTGATGTTTACAACTTAATATCTTGAGTTCCTTGAAAGTCAAATAAATACTCTCTTTTGCATATCATGCATCATTCTACATTTTTTGTTTCATTTTCAAAGGTCATTTCCAAGTCTTATTTTTTCCTTTGGTCTCACTAGTACAACACTCGCGCTAAGAGAACAATGGAGAATATCAAGCAAGAGGTTTCTGAACTCCGTAGAGAGATGACTAATTTGAAAGCTAGTGTCGAGCGCTTAACTGGCTTGACTGAAATTCTGGTTGCCGCCCAAGTCAATCCTTTAGGAGGGAGGAAGCGATGATAAAAGTATTCACTGAAACTCTAAAATCATTCTCTCATGAGAAGGTGATGGTTAATGCACCTAATGACTTTCCTGACAAGGTGAATGTGGGAGTGCGTCTAGAAGAAGATGTTGGGAAGGGATGTTCATATGAAGATGGTAGCTCAGCTAATGGTGTGAAGAAGTCTGATAATAACTTTTCCAAGAAGAGAACCAGAGGAAGAAATAATCATTGTCAGAATCATCATGTTTCTCCCATTCATCAACAGAATCAGCAAGTTCCTAATCAGAGGAAAACCCAGTTTGATCCAATTCCAATTACCTATACAGAGTTGTTCCCTATCCTGATGCAGAGGAATTTGGTTCAGACCCGACCTCCACCGAAGGTTCCTGAGAAGATACATTGGTACTACAAAGCTGATTTGGCTTGTACTTTTCACCAAGGTGCTCCTGGGCATGACTTGGAGGGTTGCTTTGCTTTGAAGATTGAGGTTCAGAAGTTGGTCAGAAGTGGTATCTTGTCATTCAAGGACTTTGGTTTTGAAGTTCAAATCAAGCATGTGCCGAAGAGTAAACACGATTGATGGTCACTTTGAGTTTTGAATGATGTTTTCGGTAATTCAAGTCCAGATGGAAAGCCTTCCTCGATTATTAACTTATTTCTGCTCTTTGTAATTTTTCTTGTTTATCAAAACATTGTTTGCATGTAAGAGCTTGTTTGCATCTGAATGATTATCTTGATACAATGGGTATGTTTGTCTTGAAGAAATTCATTCGTTTCACTCATATTTGTTTTCAAATTTTAAATTTCTTTTTTGCATTATGATACCAACTTGTTGCCCATTCTCTTGCCTAGGCAGAGATTGAAGGGAGGGTGATGATCTAAAAGAACACAAAATCTCTGGTTGCATGCTTTTGGATAAAATCTTGCTGATGATGTACAGGCATTGTTTCAAATCCCTAAACACTGGAGATATAAGGAAGATAATCCCTTGCTAACCCCTTTTGAGCCTTGAAGTAGAAGTTTCTTTTCTATACGAAAAACCCTCAACTTTTAACCTGGGGCAGGGTAGTTTTCAGTTAATCTGATTGAGTGTTCAAAACTCATAAGGAAAATGTTTTTTTGAAGAGAAACTACGAGGGATATCCTTCATGTATAATGAATCTAGAGGATGTGGAACCATAATGTTAACCCTCATTCATCAAGAAACGAGGCAATCACAATCCTCTCAACAAGCAAATATAAGCTAATGTCACACATTTTGTTCAAAAAGTCAAAAATCTAGAAAAAGAAAAAGCCTGCTAAGTCAAAAAAAAACATGAAAACGTGTGACTTAGGCAAAATTAAGGCATCCCGCTGGACTATCAATTCAAAAGAATTAGTTCAGGCAAAAGTTAGGGAAAATAAAATCGCAAAGAAAAGGACTGCAAAGAAAAGTCCTCAGCAAAGAACAAATTGGTGACTACAAACACGAAGACATGAAGGTGGTTTCTACTCCGAAGGCCTCATCGTTTCCTTGACCGTCACAAAATCCTTTTGAGAGATGAACACTCATGTTGAATTAACTGAACATAAGGTTGGAGAACATCATGAAGAATGGGTGGGCACCAAATATTTTGAGCCTTAAAATCTTTTTTCTAAAAACCGTGAACCAGGCCACGTTACAACCTTCAAAAGTCCTAATTGAAGCAAGGTTATTTTGAAAGCATACTTCAATGAGATAGT